TACTACTAGCTAACATCCTAGATGCCTTTTTTCAGTAAAAGATTTCGCAACAACGAAACATCAGAGCCATCACATCATCAACACGTCATTAATTTATGAATATTATTTTTATCTTCCACAACATTATCATGAACAAGTACTGGTCAATAATACTACTAGAGATTGTAATTGCGACAACGTTTTAACATGATTAATAAAATGTGTATTCATTAAATGTTCATCTACAAGCACATAAAAAACATTTTAATTAGGATTTTAAAGAAGAAGAAAAGGAAGAATGAAAAGAAGAATCTTATGAAGAAGAGAAGCTTCACAAAATTCACCAACGTTTCAAGATCAAGTTAAAAGTAATAAAAAAAGTATAAAAATAAATTGAGAAGAAATTTAGTGAGGTTGATGATAAAAAATTGATGACGATGCTGCAAGCATATGAAAGAGCATCCATAGCTTTTACGTAAAATAATTTAATTGGATCATAATTGACTGCGGGTTGTAAGCTCAAAATTTGATCTTTCAGCCGAAGGATCTCACAATGTTGAATAGAAAAAAAAATATTCTTAGGAGATACCGGTAATAAAAAGTGTAAAAGAGTAAAATGTAGCGGGACCAATTGCCAGGCGCACGAAGAGTATCAAGGCGAGAATTAGCATTCTCTGTATGCGATTTACTGAGGTATTTCGATAAGTTGAAGGAGACGTGTCGTCGGGCGTGCTCGGTAAGTGAATTTGCATCGGGTAGAAGAGACGCGAAAAAGAAGCAAAAAACGAATGGCAAAAAAGCGAGTCAGTAACACGGTGAGAAGAATGCAGCTCTTTTTTCCGCGTCTGAGTTACGGAGAGTGACAACACGGAAATCGTAGCAACAGTGCGTGATGAGAAACCAAATGGACATCATTTTTCTACGAGACCGATTATAGAATAAATTTAATATTCAATCGATTCTCATTCACCACAAATTTGTATTGGCACTTTAAGACGTGATGATGCGCATTCTAGTACTTGATACACGTTTACGTTGGATCAGCAAGAAAAGCTGATGGAGATTATCACAAGATAGTTTAGCCTCAAGCCAGACTACAGAAAAGTAGGATAAAAGCAGAATAGAAGTGGGACCTTGACTAACTTGCACGTCTCTGGTTTGGCTTATTGGTTTGTAACGGGGTGGATGATACGTTATTATGTTATGTGGTACATGGGAAGCAGAGTCTGAGGTGAATCGCCTAAGAGATTTTCCAATAACGACGCCAGAGACTCTCGTGCCAGGGTATTTGCATGATAGACGGTAGTAGGCCGTAGGTGAAATGACCGCCAGTCAACGGCTATGAGAGCGAATGTATGGGTTAGCTAAACCAACCTCATACGGCTTTGCTATATAGAAGACTCAGCGACCCCGAGAACTGCCTGACCCACATTCTTCTAGTGTCAAACTCCCAACAATATCCGCACTTTGATCCTCACACACCCTTGTAACCTACCTCAACGTTTTTCAAACTAACTCAATAATTCAAGCCTATACCCATCAGCTACAAAAAACCCTCGATAAAGACTTGATAAATTGATGACTTTCAAGGAAATGAGTGGCACTTAGAGCTACTTTACAATATTATCCAGGCTTTGGTACTAGTTTAACTCTACACGTATTCTTTTAGCATTCATCAAAAAAAATTTTATTTAATTAAAATTGAATTTTTAATTCTACTTAAAACTTAAGTCAAGAAAAAAATATTATTATATTTAAAGAAATGAGAGTTTAAGAGGTTTTTTAAAGCGTTATTAAACATCATAATACATTATAATGATGAAAATGATAACTACGTAAAGTTTTAATATTAAACATTAGCTCGACTGTAATTACTGTTGCAATGTCTTCTACAATGTAGTATCCACATAATTAACATCATAATGCAGAAAATGTAGTATAGTTATCATAATTAACCACTTTTATTTTCTTGTAAATAAATTTTCTCAAATTCGTAGATTTTTTACGTCTATTTATTTTTAAAACTTTTTAAAAAAGTTTCATTAAACTTAGCTTTCAATTAAACTTTCATTACTAATAGATACATCATATGAAAAATACAAATTTTCTTTTATTTGATGGCAATATTGTATGATTTGAATATTATTTTTAAAAAAATTTCATACGAAAAAAGTAACATGATCATAGCAACAAGTTAAAAATTTTAAAAAAGGTGGTATGAAATTTCATCCAGTAACCTATTTCTTCTTAAAGTTGATCCACGAGGATCCGAGAATCCTAAAGACTTGAGCAAGAATGAGTGCAGTATATTCACAGGTTGGTACAGAAAGAATATTATTTAAAGGTCACGAAACGGCTCTATAGGAGGTGCGATGTTGCTTCTTTTGGTCTTTTATATTATGTATGTACATGGCTTAGAAAGCTTAGTTGATTCTCGTAGCCCCGTGCTGAAGATTCCGCACGTTCAGGTTGTCGTCACACGCATGGCTGCAGCTCGTGAGAACTGTACTCGTGCGTTGCTTGAGGAGCATCGGCAGAAAACAAGGGCTGTTTATGTGATGTCTATAGATGTCTGTAGACCATTCTATATATACGATATTGGCGCCACTAACTTGGCGCTGTGCCTCCATCGCAGCCCAATAATTTATCAAGACTCATACCACCAATTATCCTGATGGAGTGAGTAGTAAAGTAACAAGTACAAGTAATAATAAAAATTTTTGTGATAAATTTAGAAATAATCTTCAAGAATGCTTCTACTTTCTTGTGTCTTTCGTACATACATGATTATCGTGTACAACTTTGATTCACTGGGGTATTGTTTTTCCAACAGCTACGCATACAATAGTATTGATCCAAATCTAATCTAGATATGACTTATAACCTGGGACTTATTCCAACTTGCCCTCCAGGTGATTTACTAACATCAATTCTGCTGAAAGAGTAAAAAAATGCACATTCATATTTTTTTAAAATGAAAATCTAGTTGATAAAAGGCCAACGAAAGAAAAAAAGGAAAGGCCAAGATATACATAGAAGTTTATTCCTTGAAAATAGGCGCTCTGGTCCAGACGTCTTAGTGACTTACAATCGACGACCCTATGATCTTGAACTTGCCGGCATTTGGCTTCCCCGAAAGCCCAGCACCAGACGTTGCTGAGAGGGCGTAAGATTTTTTTAGACGTTTAATTGCTACTAAGAAGCTAGTCGGTGCCTTTATATGCAACCCGATCTTGGCTGGTTTCATTAGAATATATATTCCTTGCAATTGCTTGATTGAATGATTTAGTGTGTGATGGATGACTTAGAACAAAATGGAATAGTTCATGATGGAGAGTGAAAAAAATTAGAGGAAGAGGAATTGAAGAAGAGGAAAGCTGCATATACGAGGCAACATAGTGTATAAAACAGGCGTTGCGAGGAAGGTTGAAACTAACGGTTTGTTGAGAGTTTAGTAAAAAAGTCACTAGCTTCTCCAAGAAGGGTCTTGTTGCCTCTCTTTTCCTCTTCTCCTCGATCCGACGGACTAAGAGAGTATATACCCTGTGATACTGGCCTCCTGTACATATACCTATGGCCTGCATGTACCTGCGCGCGAGAGTCCAGTATAGTCCAGTAGATTTTTCAACAGCCAAGTTGTACCTGAGATGTAACGGGGTCGCGAGTGTCAACGGGCTTTGCCACGCGATCACCGCCTCCAGCTTAGCTGCACCTATAGGGATAAGCCATCAAGCTAAAAATCGTTTAGTTGACGTAAATTAAAATCTAACTGTTTCTTACACTATCACCAATGCTATTACTGCTACTCACATAAACATTTATGTATATAGATATATAAATTAATAGATTTCAACTAATCTTCCATTAATTTTATAATAATCAATCAATTATTAACGACAATTCCTCTTTTATTTTTCATCATTTATATTTAATATATATTCAAATAGGAACACTATTTGTATAATACTTTGTCTTATCTGTTAAATCAGTATCAATCAGACTAAGCGCAGTATTGCATCATTTGATTAATCGCCAATTTTATTTATTCATTTTTTTAAATCTACTTCTAAATGAGAAAAAAAATAATTTTTTTAAAAACAAAAATCCAATCATTTCCATTTTTAATACTAATAATTATACGTTACAAATATTTTAAAATTATATAAAGATTAATTAATCAATTAATAAGTATTAATAATGTATATTTTAACATAGTAACTTCTATTTTAATACATAAAAAAATCAGTAATGCAGAAAAACATGATTGTAAAAATTTAATACATGACCCAGAGGAATGTAAATTCTCAATTCCAATAAAGATTTTATTGCACGTTAAATTATTCAGAATATTTTATTAGTAATCGATAGCCGATAGCCAATAGTTTTCTATTAAAATCTAAGTTATTAGGTCGTTGAAAAGATTTGTGAAAAAAGAATCTTCTAAAAAAATTAAAAAAATTTTCCATTTAAAATATGGGTAAAATTATTGATTATTCCTTCTGAATTCATGCATTATAACAACTGTTTGACACTTATTTTAATAATTATTCCTCTTTTATTCATCCATTTCTTCATTCACATGATTAATTATTAATTATTGTAATCAATAAACAATTATTAAACTATTTAATAATAGATAATTCGTGCATCTCATTTTGATTGAAGATTTTCTTATAAGTTTTTATTTAAAAAGTGGCAATCAATCTCTAATATATAAATTAACATTATTAGAAAAAAATTTAATGTTTTTTATTCATTAATTAAGCACTTGATTGCTAAAAGACAAAAATGTGTCGTTTTTAAAAAAAATGACTTATAATCCATTAATATTTATCTAGAAAAATTTTTAAATAATCTTTTACAACTACAATAGGAATGAATAAAATAATAACTATATAAACTTTATTCTTTTGACATTATATATTTTGATTGGACCGCCTTTACTAAATTTATTTTCATTGATTGGTCAGCATCTATTTTCTAATTAATATTTACTAACATTTATATTTTGTTAAACAACAAGTCAGTGCTTATAATTTTTTTTGAACTTTGATATTATAAGTATCGTATAAAATATTATATTGTATGAAATATGTGAAAACAACAAATAAAATATTCATCAAATACCTTGCATTTATTTATCTTGATATCATTGCCTTCTTGTTCTACACAAGAAACAGGGCGAGAAAAAGAGAGAGAGAGAGCGTCTTCACGAACCATTAACTGTTTTTTTCTCGTATTTATTCTAACTTTAATTCAATTTTATGTGAATCAATATTTATATTTGTGAATATGCAATAAGTATAAGTGATTTCTTATCATTAAAAATATGTCAAAAAATGGAGTTTTTTAAAGTAGAATATTAAACTAAAAAATCAATTAATAGAAAAAGAAAAAAACGGAAGAATGATATCTAATTATTAATCAATGCTTTTACAATAAATATATTGTATTAAAGAGTAAAAATTTTAACGATTTCATCGCAATTTAAAATATTAAATGCGATTATTTATTATGTTTACATTCAGAACCTGATCAGCAATTCATAATAGCAATCACAATCTCAATAAGTCAATTTTTTACTCATCATTATTCTTTGCCTAATTATCATAAAAACTACTTTTATCCACCAACGTCGTTTCAAAACGTTAGTTTTCACCCAAACTTGACCGTAACATTCATCACCATCTTATTCTTTGACATTCGTCATTAATGACAATACATATAAAGACCAGTTGAATAATAAAATTTTAGTGTTAACAACAGCACAATACCTCAACCGAGGCCAGCCCATTGCATAAAATCCGGCACCTCCCGCACTGGAACGTCACGAGCTAGAGCTTTGATTCTAAGGTTTCTGTCTTCAGTCAATAAAACTACATCACGCCTCAGTCGTCGTGGTTGATTTTCATCTATGTGTAATCACGAATAAATATTTTTTAATTAAAATGATTTTAAATAATGATTTTTAGTAGAAACTTTAGCTTTTAACATATACATACCAGCTACTGCTTGATCTTTATTAGATTTAGATAAGCTCAAACAAGTTGCTAAAATCCTATCATCGTTGCTGGCTAATTCATTCAACCTAATATCCTCTTCAACGGTAAATGTACTAGAAGTTAAAACAGTTCCCCGAGTAGTTAAACATCGAATTGCTGGATTTTTGCTTCTAGCAAAAGTCAAAGCTGCTTTTGCGGACTCTGCAACTCTCATCACGTGTTCTGGATTTAATGCTGCCCTCGAGTTTGGTGGACAGTCTCTTGTGTCTGCTCCTCGGGCCAGACCTTCCAGTTCATTTAATACTACAACATAAATCATTGTTGTGTTGGTTAAATAGAGTCTAAATATAAATATATACATGAATAAGATAGTCGTCTCTTGCTATTCTCCAACCCCTCTGCCAGATGTTTATTTTTGTCTTTCCTGGGGTAGATATTTCTCCTGAGAATTCCAACAAATTTTCGAGTTTTAATGAAATGGAAACGATTATTGCCAAATTTTGCTAATGTTGTGGTGAATTTGTATGCTATTGTTTCTGATAATAAATTGCGAATAAATAAATTTGCATTCATTAGTGTGTTTATACGCTCTAGAATAACTTTCCTTTATGGTATAAATTGATTTGAAGTTTAAAAGGATTCCCCGATACCACAAACTTTGAAATAAAATTGTTTTATGATCAATTCATGTATTAATACATTTTTGGAAGAATAAAATTTTAAAAATCCTGCAATAATTGTTCAATAGTTATTCAATCAGAAATAATAATATATATAAAATATGGAATACAATATCGATAAAAATTATTCATGAATATTTTATGAAGGATTATTCAATTTCATTGAATAGTTTCATTGAATTTATTATGCAAATCAATTCATATAGAGAGTAATTTAATAACTTTTTTAAAAATAAAAAATAATCAGACTAATTTTCTTTTTCATTAAAAATTTCAATGAAAAATATCTCAAGCAAAAAGAAGTGGTTCCAATGGAATGGAATATTTGATGATAAATGCATTCTTCATAGATTCAAAAGTCGACAAAAATACCGAAAAAATGATTTCAATGTTTCTCCCTGAAATACCTATTGATTTGATTATTAATAAAAAACTTGAAAATTCCAAAGTCAACCAAAGTGGCACGATTATTAATGGCTCTGGTGACCTTAATGGGCATCAGAAGTGTTTAGTATAAAAGTTGGTGCAGTTTGTTGACTACAGCAGAATCTTGGAGATTCTGGGATAGGCTGGTGAAGATTTTCAAAGGACCCGACACGAGGACACAGGGTCAAAACCCATTGGCTCTCCTCTCCCCTTTAATCTCGCGAGAGTCATCGCCTACGCCCGGTCGTGGTCAGGGGTCTGGTGGCCAATCGGCTCGCGCCTCATGCCTACACATGCATTCATGTATGAGCCGTGAGAACCTAACTGTGAACTCACCGTTGTGCAGCCCTCTCCCGTGGAATGGTGTACTCTCTTCATCCATCTCTATTCCTCTTTCGATTCGGTCTTTCTCATTCGCTGGCACAGCCAGACAGAGCGGTCAGGGGTCAAAGGGCGGCACCGGGGCCAATTTTGCATAAAAGCGCACTTTCGTTTTTCGGTCTCTCGCGGCTCCTACGATGTAATAAAACTAAATGAAGAAAGCCACAAGGAATAATAAGAATAGTGGAATATAAGCTCTGTAAATAATTGGAGTTATGTCTGCGTGTATGTAAGGAGGAGTCTTGGAACGTATAAAATCATCAACATGTGTCCTCAGGGACTATCGTCCAAAGGTTCGATTCACATTCAGACCTTGATAATACTCTTATTTATGAGTGGGTGGATTTTTATCCATGACCACTATTAATTATTGTACTGTCAAAAGCTATCAGAATTTAAACCTAATATATCTGAACGTACCCCGCTTACTTGATCTTTTTTTTTCATAAAGTAACATTTCTTTCTTTTTAACATAAACAATATCACCAATAATAAGATTTATTGAATTTTATGAAATAATATTTGTCATCACGTTAATTTATTTATTAAGACTTTTTGCCATTTCAGTTGGATTAAAATTTTTTGTAAACTATGAAAGTAAAAAGTTTGGTGATAGTTTACTCAACAAACGAATCCTGAATGAAAGCAAGTTAATTAATATTTGATGAAATGTAGTCTTGAGCTTGTAATGAATTAATTGATAACCTTGCTGAATATTCACCGTAAATGTATTTAAATGTACATACAGTAGACGATTCAAGATAGTTTATTTGCTCAGGAATTATTTAAAAATTTAAGTACGTTGCTAAGTAAAATATTTATCGTTACGGAAAACGGATTTAAAGCAAGTAGATCCGTGAGTAGATCCCGGAGCATATTATGAAGAGTCCACAAGATTTCAAAATCGAATTATGTGTCTTCAACTTCAAAAAATTCCTGAAAAAGTCTTACAGAATTTCAAGTCGTTCGTGATCGCAATTTAAAGTCTTAACGACTGTGCATTTAAAAGTATAAAAAATCAAAGTATTCACGAGCAGTTTTTTTCGCATTTTTTCAGGCGGGGAAATAGGTAGTGAACGTTAACAAAAAGGGATCGTGTCGTCGCATCTGGCGCGTATAAATCGCCAGCTCAACCGAGTGAATCTTCAACCAGACGAGTTTTTCTATTTTTTTTTCAACTATATAGACAATCCCTATGTGGTTTTCATGATGACCAATAATCGATTGCTATCTCTTTCAAGTAAATAGCCCGCATTTTGTGTTGGCGTCTCGAGAGCACTTGATGTCCTACGAATATATCCCCATGCAAACTCATCACAGACTTTACTCGTTCAATTTTCTATCTTGTACGTCTTCTGCTTCTTCCCTCTTGCAAACAGAAATCCAATCTCTCTGAAAATCATTTCAATTCAATAGCCTTCAAACTCTACAATTCACATGCATTATTAACTTGTCTATTCTATCGTTTTATTCTTTTTTTAAATTTATCACTGACGTAACTTTGGACGTAGCAATTGACAGATAGGTTAAAGACCAGGAAAACAGTCGAAAGATGTATGATAATAAGACAAATTACTCTCACGAACATGACGCAGTCATCTCAATAACGATGACTTAATGTTTCATCCAGCAAATTGATAATTTTTCAACCTAAGAAAAAAGAAAAAATAACAAATGGTGTGATGATGATGATATTAATGATGATGTCAACCTGTAGCTATAGTCAAATTGGACACAAGAGTGTTTGGTGAACGAGTAACTGCCAATTATATTTCTTAGAATGATGACCTTTTGCAAAAGGTCTATTGCATCATAGTCATCAAAGCTACAATGAGTTTGTGATTTTTAATTTTTAGCCTGACTGAGTCTACACATTTCACAATTTATTTCCTATCCAATCTACTGTGTTGTCCCCTAAATTTCGTGCCGACATTGATAAACTACCATTTCCTTCCCTAGAGACTCACTGATTCAAGAGAGAACTACTCATTTTCCAGGATATTTGGAATATGAATCAGTAGCAAATATTTGAACTTGGAAATATGGTTTTTTTATTAACTTTTTACAAATCTTTTCTATTTGATTTATTCTCATATTATTTCTAACAGATGGATTATTAAACGATCACTAAAAACTAGACGAAAAGAATTCAATTATAATAAAATAAGTATAATTGCTTTTAATTATTTTTAACTGCGTGATAAATATTAAAATAATCCTTCATAAATTTTTTGTTAGTAATTTAGTTTTTTAATAATCATTATTTGGTTGCAATAAAATGATTCGTATGTAATTGAAAGAATATATCTTTATTCATTAATTATTAAAACTTTAGAAAAAATGTTAAATATACTTCTGAAAAATAATTTAAAATGTTTTGAAGTTAATAGTGAAAAAAATGGGATACTTACCAACAAGAGGTATCATGAGAGTAAAGAGTGGTTGAGTTCCTGATGTAGCTCTCGTAATAGCCTGTAATTGTGGGAGATAATCAATGAAGCAATTGGTGTCTGGAACCAATTGACGAGGTCGCACTTCTATTTCCACTGATACTGATGACTTTTGAAGAATTTCCTGCAACAAGAATTCAAACGTAGTCCTTCTTAGATTAAGACTTTATTACAGATATAATTTATGGAATGATTTAAAATAAAGGCAAACAGATTTTTAATCAAGTAAAATTAATTTCAAGGATTATCTTAATAGCCTGAAGTAGATTAATCCATTCTATCGATTGCAACTGCGATCGTGGTCCTCCATAAATCAAAAGCTTATCCGACCACTAAGTGCACAGAAGTTGTACCTATTTCCCTCATGGTCGTTGCATCTGTTAGTCCATAGTGATTATCGTTTGAATAATTGAGTCTCTGGAAATACCAGAATCTCAGTGCCTATTTACACAAGAGTATCTACAGCAAGTTGTTTGCTGATCGTGCCGCAATTTACCTATATATTCTGATGTAAAATCATTTAAATATTTTCTTTTTTGAGGCCACAATATAAAAAAAGAATATCCTTTCAATTTGATCAGTTGATTTTTCAATATTTACTCAAGCATTGCTTTTAAATAAATGTACCTGCATTTAATTAAAAATGAACGTAAATACAACTTCTGTTCCAACGTCGAGGTGATAAACTAAATATATTTCATGATAAAAGATTTTTAATTTTTATCAATTGAAAAAATCGATTTTTCTTTAAGCTTCACTACTTATAAATCTTTATGCTATTTTCAGATTTAAATATTTTATCAATAAAACCAGACACATTATTCAGTTTAATGATAAAAGAAAGTAATCTTTTTGTTTATTATTTTCAATACAGTATGAAAATTTCATTTAATTTCCGATTGTATTTAACAACTTGCTTTGATAGAATAGATCATTCCCTTTAAAAAAAACATATTGACTTTAGTCAATGTTGGAGGTAACCACCATATTAAAGTACATAGTCCAATATTAATGTAAGCCGATGAAGATGTAAACCTTCAAAATAGAAATTTTGTTGTGACATCTGGTCTTCAATAATAATAGCGCCAACAAAAAAACCGATTAATAGTTTTTTTTTATCATTATTTACTAGAGTTTATTGAATCATCTTCAAATGTTTTGTAATAAAAAAATTCGTTTCATCATAGGTTTTTTTTATGGATAAGCTGCAATCAACTGTCAGATAATGTTTATGAATTCTAGAATCATTGAAAAAATTGTTGTTTTTCTTGAATAACTTACATCTAATATCTCATCTGTTAATATTTACTATCACACATAATAACAGTAGTAATAACAATGACAGAAGTTTGACAACACTGGAGTACAATCTTACAATAGTGCGAGGGGTAATACACAAGAGGTGACATAAGAGAAAATCCAAAGGGAGCTGTTATCGTACATTCACAGACTAGGGTGAGCTTCTATTCTCTGGAGATAGTTATTCTCAACTTGCCAGTGAAAGTTGTAATGCCAGATGAAAAGAAGAATCATCAAGAAATCATTGAAATGAAAAAAAATGAAACAATCAGCTATTGTAATATCGATTAAGAGATTTTTTCTATGATTAAAAAAAAAAAATTGCAACACATCGTGGATATTAAAATGGATAATAATTTTTTATACTGATTCACACAATTGTAAGTTGAAAAAGAGAGGGTCTTTATGAATGTCCTAACGTTTCTAATAAAAAATATTTAACATTCGAAGCGCAATAGTTGCTTTGTCATGCTTGGAATTTTAATAATCACTAGTCGATTAAATTACAGTTTGTTTTTTTAGTCATCAGCATTCCTGAGAAAATTATATCTATAATTAATCAAAACAAAATGGGACCACCTCTTTAATTATAAATATTGTATAATAAGTTCTAATACGAAAGAAGAAGAAATTCGTTAAGGGCGAAATTTAATTGCTAATTTAAGTCATAACGGTTATCTGTTTAAAAATAAAGCAATATAATAATCGACTTGCTAATGAAATATTTAAAAGTTGTTCATTCGTTGAAACAACTACAATATTAAAAATAATTGAGAGCAAGATTTGAATAACACACAATTGAAAAAAAAATATAAATTGTTATTGTTCAATATAGCTCGTGATTTTGATATCAAAAAATTTGATTATTTTTCTTTATGATCCATTATAAAAAAGAAACCATAAGGAAATAATTGGTTATTGTAGCAAATACTGCAATGCAGTTTTTGAATAAATGAAAAGAAGCCAAAATGAAGTAATATTTTTTTCTACACGATTGCTTTAAACAATTGTTTTCAGAAAATTGAAAGACTTCTGGAAAGCTTCCAACCAAGTTTTGCATATTCAAGCAATATTTTTTTACCCTCAGTTTTAATAATAGATCTTTAATGATGTAGAAATCAAAAAGGGTAATTTAATTTGACTAAATTTTTACATTCAGATTTTAAATAAATCATCTTGATAAATGCAATAATTGTTTATTATGAGATACAGTATAATTAAGGTATTGCTTGAAAGCTTATATTAAAGCTGGCTAAATTTCAAAGAGTTACAGTGACCTGCACGAGCTAGTCACTAAGAGAGATCAGGAGAAGCGCTGCTAACAGAGTATAATTAGTTTAGAGTAATTAGTCTCGCGCGGTTTCTCTCGCTCTCGACTTTTACCATCTCCAGTACACAAAGTCAACCCAACCTTCGTCACGGCCTTGAAATAATCTCCCTGCACACCAAGAACTATCTTGCTTACTGCAGGCAATACCGGAAAGAAGGATAATTGTCTGTAGTTTAATTATATTTTTTTGCTATAACTTTTTCTACATATGACAACGATACGTTTCATCACCAATGAACTCGTATTTTTAGCTGGACCTTTGCCTCTTTTTCTCACTTATTTTCATCCACCTAGCGTGAGTCAAACTACCTGGTGAATGATGACACACCACAAAAAGTCTAGAATCTTAAAATTCAAAATATTTGCATTTTTAATTGTCCGAAAAATTTGAAAAATTATGCCATTAAAACTACATAGCAAAAAATAGTTTTGTGGATTAGAGAGGTTTTAATCAAATTTATCAAAAGATTTTAGCAAAAGATGAATTTGATGACATAGTTATAGGTAGAAAAAATAGTCAGTTATATGCAGTTGTTATCTTGTTGAGGATTTGAATAATTATATCATTTATATAAACCTTCAGAAAAAAATTTAGACTATCAAATGAAGCAACAAGATTAAGTATATAAAGATAGAGAACAAATAAATTGATAACTTAATTTACAATAGACTGAGAATGATAGGATTGTTTATTTCGAGCTTCAAAAAAGCATCGAATAGAAATTTATTTCAGGTATATTAATAATATAATAATCTGAATGAAATAACAAAAAGTTATTTTTACAGTTAAATCTGATAAAAAATTGAAACATGAATAGTATTTAATCATGATAATAACTTATTAACAAAATGGAGCGATTTTGTAAGACTTGAAATTTATATAAAAAACTAAAAAATGTGATGAGGAATGATAAGAGAATATTTTAACCGGAAAAAATAAAAATTCTGTAGACATCAACTAGTTTTAAAAACATCTAATGTATAACTCAATTAAAAAATAGCTCAAAGATTAGCAAAACCAGACTAGTTTGCGAGACAAGTTTATCAAGTAGAAGTAAGTCATAGAGTAAAGGGTAAAACTGCACAGTGGCATAATTGTAAAAACCTTTTGAAGTTGACCAAGAAAAAACATGCAGCTTTCATAAAAACTTGATTGTCATTAAAAAGTTGAAAAAAAAAATTTAAAAACCAGAATAATAAAAATGAAATGAAATCAGTAAGTCGGTGTAATCTTTTGATTTAACTTAGTTTAGTAAAAACGTTTTGCGTGTTGTACGTCTTGTAAGTTTATTCAGCTCGTGGCGATAAATACCAAAGGAGAACGTCCGTTATCCGAATCTTTTATTCGTTACGCATGGACCTAGACTTGGTATGCCTTGAATTACTTTCACAATTCGAGGAATGTGATTCAGGATAACTAATTGTTGTAAAAATTGAATGTACTATGTTGTAATTGCCATATAATTGAAAGACTGACCTGAACTCGTTGCCGATGACGTTCTTGTCTCCTTTGACGTCTCTCTAATTCCTCTTTCCGTTCAATCAATAATCTAATATCTGATTCTGTCGTCAAATCGCTCGATATAGGTTTTGATAGAGACACTGGTTCTTCCTCTTCTTCACTATAACTGTCTACTAGTAACTCCGAATCACTCTGTTACAGAATAAAATTCAATATTCAATTAACGAACCTATTTTATACACACAAAATATTTATTTTTAATTAATTATTAACTTGAAAATCATTTTTTTATTAATTGTCTTTTACAAACACATTATTTAATTAATTGTGTACTTCGTAAAAGATATTTTTTTATAAAAAAAAGTAGTAAAATTAAAAGAAAAATATTATTATTAATGATTTAATACTCAACTAATTCTTTAAAAATGTATAAAACAATTAATCATGAATAATTTCCAATTTTATTCAGTTGATATGAATGATAATCCTTTAATAAAATATTTTCTCTTGTTGAAGATGTATTAAATATTTTTTTCAATAATTTTTTGCCAAGATAAAGAATAAGATTAATTTACCTGCTCAGGAGGTGAGTTTGGTGAACTTGTATTCAATGTTTCAACCAAAGATACATATTCGCTGACACCAGATTCATTTTTCTGCAACTTAAGAACAGGAGTCTCAAGACCACAAAGAAATTCTTGACCAAAAAATACAATCAAGTGCATTCTGAGACAGACTTGCGCCACTTCCATATCATCATTCTTGTCTGCATAAAAGGACTCACGAGGGCATGACATGAGAGGCGTAAAACCAGCCAGTGTTGTATCTTCTGGCAATTTTATCAAACTCAATTCTGCAACATATGAAGAAAAGAGGGGAGTTAAGGGTAAAAAAATTTTCTAGTAATTAAATATATATGTATAAGTAATCTACTTCATAAAGTACCAATCCCTTTTCCCGATTAATGCAATTTACGATCCAAGTGGCAATTACCGGCGTGTTCTCTATGACTAATAGAGGTGCCCCTATCGGGAAATGATGACTAATCGTGTTATCTCGAGTAACGAGGAAAACGAGAGAAGAGACTCACCGTTCTCTCGACCAGTCGCTTCACGTTCGTGAATTATTATATTTCGAGGATAAGGCAGCTTCTCCAGAAGATTTACCATCGTTGCCAATCTACTCCATGCGTCACCTGGAGGCCTAAACAAAAATAAAATTCATACATTCTTTATTCATTATACTCTTGTATCGTGACAGTTGTACAGTACTTTATGCTTTAACATCATCATTATTACTGACATCAACTTGCAATCAATTGAAACTAATTACTATTTTTTTTTTATTTCGCAAACTTCGTCATAATGTAAAATATATTTTAATTGTATGAATCAAAGTAAAAAAAATTTTTTTAACATAAAAAATTATTAAAAATTTCCATTGACTAATTACTATATTAACATATATTCTCAGAATAGAAATATTAATATTAATTACATAGAATGAGCATCGAGTACCTAATATTGATTCAAAAATAAACAACCAAGTTTATTGATAAGTTAACTATAATGATTTAATTAAAGTTATTTCATTAAATAAAATTATATAATTATAAAATAAAATTTAAACTTTAACAGAAATAGATCTTTAATTTATTACGGCATTAGAATTTTTTTTCTATGTAAAAGTTGCCAAAAAAGTTAACATACGGGGTGAGCTCACAATCTATCAATGAAAATAGATGACCAGCTTTAGTTCAACATTTCAGAATATCCTCGTAAAAGTATCAATCTAATAATCAGAATTTAACTTTGATAAATAACGTTTTATAATGAATGAATGAAAATGGTAGATGAGAGAATAATTTGAAATATCACAAAAAGGTCAATCGAAAGAGTTAAATATCTTGAGGTTGTGATGATGCGCTTATTCACAATAGTGCATCCGATTCGTCTCGCTGCTTGTCGTCCTTGCAAGGCGACGCTTGACTCACGTAATTGTTAATCGTTAACGAGAAACAATAATTAACTTATCCAGCCGGATAGTGCTAGTTGCGCAAAGCCATGCGATTCTTCTTTTTATTATTATTTTTTCCTTTTTTTCTCATTTATTTATACTACCCTATTTTTATTCCCCAGTTCTCGTTCACTAAGAGCCAAGGGCCTTGGGACGCGTTTAATGGCCAATAGATTGCATCGCCTGGACGATTGCATCTACAGAAGCACCACAGCAGCAGCAGCTACTTTTCCTCTTTTCTCTTTCAACTTTTTTTTTTAAATATTTTTTACTCCTATCAACTTACTGTGACTTTAGCTACTCAATTCGTCTCACTTGAATTAAATCCATCCATTCATTCAGCAAAAAAAATAGCTTTGGCCTTGATGAAAGTTATCTTGATCAACGCAACCATAAATACATTGTGATTTAAGTAGTAATTGCAGTTACGGCCAATTACTCCAAATTTTCTGATAAATCTCACTTGAATATTTTCAATGGTAACTGTTAGCTTAGCGGCGTAATCTATTGGCCAGTTAGTGTAGTATTCTTAGCTTACCGACAGTGCTCGAATAGTTCAACATTCTTTAACGTCCTTACAATGTCTTGTCATTTATTTCTTCAAGATCTCAACCCTTCAAAAAAGCATTTATTTCCTTGTAGAACAAGGAAGCAGTCATTCAACTTACCCAACTCGATAATCTGTACAAGAAGGTGGTGGAAACCATACTAAACTGTGGCAAACCAACCAATCACACCAGATCTGAAACAAATCACTATTGTTAACATCTAATATTACTATAAAAATTTAAAAACATTTCTGATACAAAGATTTATTGGCTTTTTTCCACGCACACTCCACACACCATCGCGAATAACTTTCACGGAAAAAAGAATCATCAGAAAATTCCCGTTAACAATTCACGATAGATCACGATCTCGATCAAGATTGAAAAGATTTCTGCTAGATCCTACACTCATCAGTCTTTTCTTTGAATTTTAAAAATAAATAGATAAACAAGCAAATAAATCTTTGTTCAAATAAAAATTATTACTTTAAAAGAGTCATAAATTACTCAACGAATCAATTTTATTGAGAATTTTTTCTTTTATTTTTTTTTTGTAATTCGAGAAAAGTTTTTTTTATTTGAATGAAAGAAAAAACTTTGCTCAGTACAAAAGAAACATTCCTCAAACTACTCAACAGAACTGCAGCAGTTTTAAACTACAATGAAATGCAAATAGTTTGTATCTCCATTGGCAAGTTGCCGAAGAAGATATCGATCAAGTATCGTTGGGTATAGATGGACGATCGATCTTGAGTGAATTCTCTTCCGCGGTTAAAGAATCAAGAAGTTAGACAGAGAGGGAGGAGGTGGTGAAGATAAAAGGAGGACAAAAAAAAATATTGAAAGGAATCTTCTTGAGCGCCTACAACATAGTAGACATTAGTGGGCAAGCATCGTTTTCTCTCTCAGTCTTTCTCAGTATATTTCTCTTTTCATTGACTTTGAACTTTATCGATGGACTCTACACGTGCGGGATAGATGCATTAATCGCAAAGGTTTCACACAAGCGTGCATAATGAGTCAACGACATATATAAACGGCAAAACACCAGAGAAAGAAAATAAAAGAGAAAAGAGTAGAGAATACTTCAACATTGGCCACCAAGCGAGGACTAGGAGGTGTAGGTGCAAGTATGCTTCATAAATCCTCTTGGAAGACCAAGGCAGAAATCGGATCGAAAAGCTCTTAAAAAATGTAGGTGCCGAGCTAACATATATTATTAATTCTCCATTCATTCGCGACGGTTCATTAATTATAACCCTCTAGATAACAGGACTGCATCAAGGTCTTAGCAGCAACTAGCTCTTGGATACCTTGATAGTTGGCAGAAGGACCTGCATATCCTCATCAACCACCAGCCTTGGCCGATCTTTCTTCTCCAGTTCTTCCTTCAGTAAAGCTATAGCACGTTCCAAAATTAAACTGAACATCTGTAGAGAGACAATCAATGCACGTTCCTGTACCTCTGAACGATAGCCTTGCTCCATTTGGGTATCTGCAACAAGAAAACGTTTTATATTCACAAGTCATAGAGACACTTGGTTTTATAGACAAGCTAATGAGATGGAAGAAAACTTGGGGACTAGAAATAAGACTTGGAATATAGCAAAGCTTCCATTATCTCGTATATCCATCGACGGTAATCGACATAGTAAACATTTCAGCGTCGCTTTTATCCCGATGCGGCAATCGAGAAAGACGTGAGTATGGAAAGAATAAGGAAGAACACAGCAGTTGTTTTACGAGGGTGACATCACCCGCGGTCTCTTTCATCCAAAGGAATACCTTCCGAGCTAAAGGATAGTCTTCAGTGCGTAAATATTACAAATACTCGGTTCCTCCATGCGACTTACTTGCAAGATTCAAGGTGGACCATCCTCTACCAATTCAAACATTTCCATTTTATATTACTTTCTATATAAAGACTTACAAGGACCCATTTTAAAATTATTACCAAAACGAATTTATTTCATGAAAAAGTCATTTAATATTACATTATAAAACAATTATCCTTAATATTTAATTATTACCATAGAGATATTAACTATTTAAATGGTTGGAGAACTTGACAGTAAAAGAGTCGTAGAAATATAAAGATTATAATGTCTTGTTCGAATGAAAATGAGATCGCTAAATAAAATAATTAATGTTTATTAGGAGTATACATAAAATAAATAATATATATTATCAGGAGTATAATTAAATAAGAATAATAAAGATTTGGAGAAGAGAAAAAATAATATCATTGAAAAGATGAATGACTTTTTGAGAACCATTAATTTACGTCTCTTTCATAGGCGTGAAAACAATTTATTTTTTCATAAAACAGGGCAGGTAAAGAATTTCTGTAACATCTACCTACAATTAAGTATCTTAAGTGGTACGCGCTAAGAGGGTGTCGTTAAATAATTGAATTCGCTTCGCTGAAACGTTATAATTCACCCTCAGGCATTTCTTCTTGGAGGGTGATATTTACTCTCTTGCAGCCAGCCCACTTAGACGACGAGACAGGTATCTAGAATTTATCAGACCGCCTACTGTCAATAATATGAACGGACCAATCCAGGTGCTTATTACCAACAATCTTATATTGGTTCTTTGTTTTTTTTTCTTTTACTTTCATCATTCATGTTGCCTTCTCCTCTCAGTAGTCAGATTGAAGCTTCATCTTTAAACAATCAGAAAATGTTACAAAGAAATGTCTACATAATTTGAAGTTGAAAAAAGCTGTAGTCAATTTTAAACAATTTATCATTTGAAAATGATATGTTCGTAACACGACTAGAATCATAAATTAGTTTAAAATAAAAATGATTGCAAGTCATCATCTCTGGACTCGAGGAAAGAGTCAACTATTTGATATAAAGTAGACAAGCAATGCTAGCTGGTATAAGAGGAGTCCGATTACGATATCCCTTGGCTGAGATGTGAATGTGAGGAATAACTCGCCGGAAATACCACGAAGCCAACGACCCTAGAGACAAATAAGAATGATGATGATCACGCGATATCTTATGGATAATTTTTTTCGACATTTCATGTTAATATTGTATAAAAATAATAACACTGACGACGATATAGTATAAAGATAAACGTTAAAGACGGCTGGAAGCTAAAGTAGCGTCAACTTTCCTGTAGTTTCTCATCTTCTTCGTACGACCTTGGCGGGACCTTGCGAGGTTACCGACATTACGATACAGGTCGACTTGTTGAATATTATACAATAAAATTTTTTATCGTCGTCCACTGCATCCAATTCATTATTATTATTATCATCATAGTGTCTTCTTCAGGCCTCAATTATAGTGTTTCAATGAATTTATTGCAGATTTAATTACATGATGAGTAAGAGTAGATGCAGAAAGAAAGTAAAACAACACAAAAGACAGTGAAACAGACTTTTTCATCACGCAATAATATCAGAAACACGCAAGCCTACACTTATATCATATTATCTTCAATTATCCTTTGACTTTGCTGAATTTTTGAGCATTATAAACATTGAATAAGTCTGATGAAGTCATTGTTTTGTCATCATCATCATTATTTTCGGAAAATAATTTAATATAATAATCATCATTTATATATCATTATCGACTTTTTATTTTATCATTGCTTTTATCTTGCATGAATTTCTCTCACTTTCCTTATATTTTTTCTTCTCATCGACTAACTGCTAGTCTCTGCCGTTGGTTAAAACCCATGAAATATTGTTCTCTGATTATGGGGTGGTGTACAACGTTAAGAGAGCCATAAAGTCGAAGGAGAGTAAGAGAGAAGGAGACTCAACAACAGGAACTTGTAGATTGTGTGACTTTTTTTTGCTGCTCTTAAACTCAAGTTCTATCTTCATTACCTTCAACTACAGCTTCACCAATAATCCTGTAAATAAAATGTTGAATATTTGAATATTTCAATCGAATTTTAATCATTACAAAAAATCATTATTTCTTTTTAGTAATAAACATACTTACTTGAGAAAAAATTTTTAATCTATTGTAAAATTAAGCTTCGTTCGTTTTTAATTAATAAAATTCCCAATGTAAAATTAGCACTTCTCATTACACATATATTAGACCTGAAGATATTACCGTTGCGTAATTTACAGGCTCAAGGTCTCGATGCATAAATAATCGACACTCGCGTGTCCACTTGTGTCCATACAAGAATATACCTAAGCGTTTTTTGCTTCTTCTTCTTCTTTTTCAGCTGCAGCTCGTGCTTTTATCAGGATCCCGGATGGCGTGGCGAACCAAGTGAACGTAAAAGACATGAAGACAACGCCCACTTTCTTCACTGCGTCCAGATTAATCTTTGTCATTTATCGGATGTTCGATAGATCATTGATAAAGTTGATTTATTGATAAAAAGGTTATTTTTAGGCTAGCCTAAAGCAACCATTTTAAGTTGATAAAAAAAGCACATTCGGATGATCCAGCTTTTTTGGTCAAAATATCCAGAGCAATGTTCTGATCTTCGATGACGACCTTGGAATGTCAGTCTTGTAAGACATCGAATCGATTAGCGTCGAGTGAAGTAAAAGAAAGAATGCACTCACTTAGAATTATATGTAGGAAAGCTAGTGTTAAAGAAATGAAGAAGAAGAAGTAAGAGAAGAAGACGAAGAAGTTGAATATTTTTACATTGGCTGTTCATTCACCCGACCTTCACAAGGTCACAGGCATCTGAAGGAAAAAAAGTTGAAACGACTTGATGAGGTAGAAGGAGAGAACGTAGGGTATAGGAAGAGGTCTAATCAACGCCTCGCGTCATGCTCCAGGGAACACGCTCTGCAGGAAGACAAGTGAACAACAAATAGATGATCAAGATCTAGAAGACACAAGCGCAATGTATAAGCTAAGAATACACCAACTTCAAACCAACCTTGAAAACTTATCCTTCCAGAAATGTTGAAAAAAGCACATGTGATGTATGGATTACGTCAAAATACCATAGTGAAATGTTATCTTGCATTTTTTCTTCCCTCGCACTTTATCCCACCATCTGTTAAATACTTGTTCAGTGATTGCAGACAAACGTGTGTCGTTGGTGCGTGTCGTGCGTAAGGTTAAAAATAACACATCGCAAGATATTTATAGCTATCATGGTGTTGAAGGCAATGAACTACAAGGCAGAAAGATGATCATCAAGTGAAGGAGAGAATAAATGAACGAAAGTTGATAAGAAAAGAGGTGAATCAAGTGATATAAAAATAACTTTAAATACCATATGAAAAATGAAAATGACTAAAAAATTACCCAAGTGCTGGAGGATTAGGTTGAAGATTATGGTTTTGTTTGATGGAAACATGGAAAATAATAGAAAAAAATAGGATAAGGTGATGAATTGATGATATATATTATATGAGATGAAGGAAGGGTACATTGAGCTCCAAGCAAGATGGCCTTGAGGTAGGCTGCTGCAGGAGAGGGCAAGGCCGACCACCGAACTAAACTTTTCTTCGTCTTCTTGTTCTTCTTCTTCTTCCTCCTCCTCCATCTTCTTATTCTCTTCTTCTCACTGCACTTTATCTTGGTATTGCAATCGTACGTATATTTGTTGCTAAATATGTCACATTGATATTATTTCATTCAAGAATAATAATAATCATATAATAAAAACCTCCAAGTATTTAATAATATGTCTATTGACTCAGGACAGTTGCAATTTGTGTCCGACCAACTATAAACAACATGAATACTATTTTTCATTCCTTCGTCTTCGTTCACTTCTTCCTAGCATTGATTTACAAGATATGACAAGAAAGACACCTGAGTATCACACTTGACACCTAAAGGTACGCTGCTCATCTTACCAGACTAACTGCCAAGAGACCAAGTAAACATCTTGGATTTTTCTTTTTCACACGTCAACTCGGAGAAAATACAAGCCGTCATTTTGTCATAAAGACACGTTTCTTATTACACTTTTACTTGCCTTTGGTGTCAAAGTAAAACAACTAATGATTTGATTAGTCAAGCTTAAACTATTCTGTATAATTTGAAAATGAAGAGACATTACTTTTATTATTTTTGCAATGTATCTTTTTAAATTATACATGGTTTTTCTAAATAACAAAAGATATATTAAAAATGAATAATCTATTGGAAACAATACTTGAAGAATCAATTCATACTTAACTGAAATTAAAAATTGAATTTTTTCAAGTTATTTTTATCTCTACATCAATATTTAATTTTTTAAGATAAAAATACAACTATAAAAACTGTTAATTATGATCTGAAAAAATTAATGAAGACTAAAAACAACGAATGGTCTTAGGTTCATGAAAGCCATCAGAGTACTAAATCTATCATCAATCATCACTAGTGAAATATAATTAAATTACTATAAACAGAGAAAAAAATATTATACTATTCAAAATAGTCATATACGACAGGTGAAGATGCGCAAAAACATCCGTCAGTCAAGGGATAAATATATAAGGTAATAATTCAAAGAATTTTTTGCTAAACTCATTACTCACTAATGTCT